ACTCTTCAATTCTCCAACCTGCAATGTATATCATATTGAGAAAAAATACAGTACAACTACAGATAATTGAGAAAATGATGTATCACAAAATTAAGCACCAACATCAGGCAGACATGATTCACCAAAAATTGATCACCAACATAACAAGAACAAACTACAGGATCCAAGACAATTAGCATGAATCAACTGTTGGTCTAGCTTGAGAAATGGAAACTAATAAAAGCACAGAACAGATTCAACAAAAAAACATAAATATGGGGTAATAGGAGCTCATTTGTTCTAGAAAACCAACATTGCCATAAAAGCAAGAACCTACACAGTCAGAGCTGGAAAAATCATATATAAGAAGCTTGAAGGGGGAATTATGATTAAAATTATAAGGAAAAGCTTCTTGCAAGCTCATAAATTTACAGGTTGTGCTTCCTCCATGTGTGTCAACGGCCGATTAGGACGATATGTATGGTTTTTACGCTTTGCCCATAGCCAAAAGCGCTGGAATTCAACTGGTATGCCAAACTCTTTAGCAACCTCTTCCTGCATATCACAGATTAGAAATCATACATTAAAATCAAAGTTATGAAAAATAGAGCATCTGTTGAGCAATCATCACCAACTTCATAAACGAAAAAACATAAGACCACAAAGATTCATATTATATATTTTGTTTCCTTCCAACTAAAGCATCAGAAGTTTTATATTTTTCCACTGTTCTAAAAAGTAATTGTTTTATCAAAGGATGCAACTAAAATAATGATTTGAACTTTTGGAGTTCACAAACTAAACTTTCTCTAGTTCAACAACTCTTATCATATTTGCCTATAAAATTTGATAAGATAGTAAGAAAAATTAATGCATTTCTCCAAAAAGTAAGAAGACTAGCAACAAAAGCACTGGCCACAACAGTCAGTCATCCAAAATTTGAAGTTGTAATGATGGTTATCAAATATTCCCACTTTCCAAATCCATATTGGATGACATTCCATCCTTTGACATTCAAGCAACTCTTCAACAGGTATCATCCCTTGCAAAGGGGATATGTTATGGGCCACTGAATCCCTTGCAAGAGAAAATACAAAATATTAGAGTATGCTCACTTGCTTTGAAAAAATTAAACTGAAAAAGTATTGATGGCATGAAACTGCCTGAGTGAATCCTATTTTGAAATTAATCCCACACAGCAACATCGAATAATATAGTTCTGTGGATACGGACAATTTTACATTATCTCCCTCTTAACTATATCATAAATGAATGGTTCAAGACACTTTATGTCAGTATATTAATTTCTCATGTTTACCAATTTTTCAATGAAAAGCCAACATTTTAAAAGGAAATATTTTCGATTGAGATCAGAGCAAATAAGAAAAGAAACTAATATTTGTCATGGTCTACGAGATCCAAATTTATGTCCTTTCCAATTTGCACAGCAAGCTCTTCATCTCGTGCCACCTAAGAAGTATCATATGTTATCAGTAAAATATAAATCCAATTTGATTAAGCAACTCACAAGGACAAATGAAACAGTACCATTGTGATGAAATTTACCTAAAGTGGAGCCTGTTGTACACATATTCCTGAAAATCAGACAAATGAGAAAATAATTAGTACCAAATACTAAATTATTAGCAGGATAACCTCAGACAAAAAAAAATTGCAATAATTCAGATGCAGGATACAAAAAAAAAAATTGAAGCCAAAGTTCCCAACGAAATATCCAGAAGGAATAACAAAAGGCAGAAAAATCTTGTGTTTCTCAGTTGCAGAAATTCCAAACCACAAAGATTTCACAAACCAAACCAAAAAGAATTCAAGAAAAGAAAACCAACAGAGAACAGAGCATATATTGATACATCATCTAATCTACCTCACAGATTCCATTAACAAGATATCCAAAGAAGAATCCAGATGAGCAAATGAGGAATTGTTGATATCCAGCGTGAAGCAACAATTTGATATCACTCTCTCTCTCATTTTGTGGCAAGTGAAACCCAAAAACCATTTTTCTCTTATTTTGAACTCCAACGGATATTTTCATTATATATATATTAGAGGCAACACATTACTAAAGGTATTTGAAATTACCCCTATGTCATTTTTTGTTTGCTAATTGTAGTGACATATATTTTTCGAGAATAATAAAGTTTATATATATATATATTTGAAAAGCTAATTTATTTATTTAACTCAAAATAATAAGTAATCTCGAGTTTATATATAAATAGAACATCGTCTCAAACATCCTCAAAGCAAATGATAAAAACATAAAGAAAGAAATATAAAAAATTCAAAAATCTCCAACTGTATAAGCTGGCTCCTCGCTTCGTTTCCCGCTCACTCCACTCCAACGGTATAATTTTCCGGCAACAAAAGCAAACACACAAAAACAACATTGCAAATCACAAAAGCAAAACACACAAACAACCTTTGATCTCTCCAATCCCTAATTTTCCCGAGAAACTTTTCAGCTCTCCTTCGCGCTCAACACTGCAATTCTTGTTTTTCTATTCTGCAAGTCTTGTTTTCTTGTTTTTCTTCCCAATTTTTTTTTCCGGCAACAAAAGCAAACACACAAACAACCTTTGATCTCTCCAATTTTCCCGAGAAACTTTTCTGCTCTCCTTCGTGCTCAGCATTAAAAGTTTTTTTTTTCTATTCTGCAATTCTTGTTTTCTTGTTTTTCTTCGTACAATTTTTTTTTCTTGCCATAAATGATGGCGTTGAGGGTTTTGGTGGATGCGAGTGATCCCGTGATGAGATCAAATCACCGTCTTCACAATTTCACGTCCCCTCCCAAATTCTTGAAGTGTGGAACCCAGAAGAGATCCAAAGTTGTGCAGAAGAAGAAGAAATTAGATGTAAGTTGTTTATGCTATTTTTCATTATTATGTTTAATATTTTTTTTTGTGTTTTTTATGTGTTTTCTTTTTTCTTTTAAAGCATGTTATTATTATTGTGATAATGATTTAAATTTTTATAATTTAATTCAGCCTCCTCTCGAGTTTATCATGGATGCTAACAAACCTCAAAGCTCCATGGAGTCTCTCCGTATGAAAAAGGGATGCATGCCTATGAGAAAAACTTTATTCGTCAAAAAAATTATACCAAAAAGTCTTCAAGGGCTTCAGTTAGCGAGGTTTATAAGAAGATAAGGTTGGAAACTCTGCAAGAGGAAAAGGGGAGTGTTGAAAAATCATTCTTGAAAAGTAGTCATGAACTAGTTGCTCCTATTGATGTTGATAATAAGAAGAAGACATTGTTAAATTGGAGAAAAATAAAAGAGGAAAGACGAGGGAGAGACAAGCAATAGGACAAGGGAAGTGTTGAAAAATCATTCTTGAAAACTAGAACTAGATGCTCCTATTGATGTTGATAATAATAAGAAGACTTTGTTAAATTGGAGACAAATAAAAGAGGAAAGACGAAGGAGAGACAAGCAAGAGGACAAGGGAAGTGTTGAAAAATCATTCTTGAAAACTAGTCCTGAACTAGCTGCTCCTATTGCTGTTGATAATAATAAGAAGACTTTGTTAAATTGGAGACAAATAAAAGATGAAAGACGAGGGAGAGACATTGCTTATGCTCGACTCCAAGCACGACTCCAACTTGATGAGATGAAGGACACAGCTGGTTTAGAGCACAACATGGAGGCTCAAAGAGATTTTGAGAAGCTCATTGGAGTTCATTTGTAAAAGAAAAATTAATGATGAACTGTGGAAGAAAAATTGTTTGCGTTGTGATACTCTTATGCTATAAAGTTTTTTCAAATGTGACGATGTATTACTTTCTTGTTTCCCGTAAATAATAAAAATTTAGTTCATTTTTTCTGATGTTATGCTTTCTTGATTGAGAACTTACTGACTGCTTAAGTTTAGCTTCGAGTAAATTGAGGTAATTAAATATTATTTTTTTCTATTCTTTTATAAATTAAGGACAACACTATTATTAAACTCTATAATTTTTTTTCTTGTGGACATGCTAATAGCACAAGATGAAATATTTGAACCTGTGATGGCACTTTCTAAGTTTAAGTCCATCTTATATTCTATCTCACTACCTTAACATAAAAAAAGTTTGTGATTGCACACATGAATGTTGAATTAAGTATGGTATATGTACAATACGACCATTAACGAATCAATTAAGAAAGCCAACAACACCAGAAATGGCCTACCATCAGGGATTGTGACCAAGAACTTAGATATTGCCAACACTGTCTCAAGGTCCATCCGTGCAGGCATCTTTTGGATCAACTGCTATTTTGCCTTTGATATTGAAAGCCAACTTCACAAGTATCTTCAAATTAATTTGTCGCAACACCTATTTACAATTCTCTTTGGCTTTGAAACTTTCAGTTGCGGGTGCTTGTGAGAACTAATATATACATCATTTGGATCAACAACTTCAGTTTTTTTTTTCTTTTGGATGCTGAACAATATAAGTTTTAACATCATATCGGTAATCAAATAAATTTGTACACTTATGAGCTTGTGTGATGTTGAACCACTCCTCAATAATAAGATGCCAAAAAAGGAATGAAAGAATAGCAAAAAAAAATTTGTGATAGTTTTGTTGCACTTCCAAGCTGTTTGATACAATATAAAGTACATTGGAGTATTGCTGTGTTTATATAGCCTTTACATGGTATCAATGGAACATGTATGTAATTGCCAGCGTCACCAGCATAAGAAAGTAAGCAATTCTTTGATCAATTGCAGTACCTGCGATAAATGAAACAAGATTTAATTAAAAAAATTAGAGACAAGGAGGAAGTTCGTTACTTCATAAATTAAGAAAAATGAGGGAAAAAAAAAGCACTTCAAGAAATGAGATAGTATTGAATGAGATAACATTCAAAATCTCATGTAATACTATTGAATTTTGAGAAACTTCGTAATCTACAAGACAAAGCACTTCAAGAAATTGACCAATAGATTTTATTTTTTCATCAGAAGGATCTCCGAAATTTGGAAGGATCACTCCCATTATTCAGCAAATGGTTACTTCGCACACCATAATGCACATATAAATCTCCAATTACACTAAATCGTCTAATTGTATACACATAATTGATCACCCCCACCAACATAACAAGAACGAACTACAGGATCCAAAACAATTAGCATGAAAAATATTTATATTGGTTGCATTTTTTATTCATTTTCAAGATTGGAGAATATAAAACAGCTAGCCATAGATTGCAGAAATAAAAATACAAAGCCAACACAAAGAATCAAGTGTTGGTTCAGCCTGAGAAATGGAATCTAAAAAAACCACAAACAGATTCAACAAAAAAACATAAATGTTGGGTAAAAGGAGCTCATTTGTTCTAGAAAACCAACATTGCCATAAAAGCAAGAACCTAAAAAGTCAGAGGTGGAAAAATCATATATAAGAAGCTTGAAGGGGGGATTATGATTAAAATAATAAGGAAAAGCTTCTTGCAAGCTCAGAAATTTACAGGTTGTGCTTCCTCAATGTGTGTCAATGGCCGATTAGGACGATATGTATAGTTTTTACGCTTTGTCCATAGCCAAAAGCGCTGGAATTCAACTGATATGCCAAACTCTTTAGCAACCTCTTCCTGCATATCACCACAGATTAGAATTCAGACATGAAAATCAAAGTTACGAAAATAGAGCATCTGTTGAGCAATCATCACCAACTTCATAAATCAAAAACATAAGACCACAAAGATTCATATTACATATTTTGTTTCCTTCCAACTAAAGCATCAGAAGTTTTATATTTTGGTATTGTTCTAAAAAGTAATTGTTTTATCAAAGGATGCAACTAAAATTATGGTTTGAACTTTAGGAGTTCACAAACTAAACTTTCTCTAGTTCAATGACTCTTATCGTATCTGCCAATAAAATTTGAGAAGATAGTAAGAAAAATTAATGCATTTCTCCAAAAAGTAAGAAGACTAGCAACAAAAGCACTGGCCACAACAGTCAGTCATCAAAAATTTGAAGGTACAATGATGGTTATCAAATATTCCCTCTTTCCAAATCCATATTGGATGACATTCCATCCTTTGACATTCAAGCAACTCTTCGACGGGTATCATCCCTTGCAAAGGGGATATGTTATGGGCCACTGAATCCCTTGCAAGAGAAAATACAAAATTTTAGAGTATGTTCACCCGCTTTGAAAAAATTAAACTGAGAATGTATCGATGGCATGAAACTGCCTGAGTTAATCCTATTTTGGAATTAATTCCACACAGCAACATCGAATAATATAGTTCTGTGGATACTGATAATTTTACATTATCTCCCTCTTAACTATATCATAAATGAATGGTTCAAGACACTTTATGTCAGAATATTAATTTCTCATGTTTTCCAATTTTTCAATGAAAAACCAACATTTTAAAAGGAAACGATTGAGATCAGAGCAAATAAGAAAAGAAACAGTAATAGTAGTCATAGCATGCCAGGTCAAAGCACTTCTACCAGGAGGGCTACTGGTGTGATTAGTGATTATACCTTGAAAAGGTTAAAAGACCTCTGTTTTAGGACACGGAAACTCCTCACTTTGTCATGGTCTACGAGATCAATATATATATCCTTTCCAATATGCACAGCAAGGTCGTCATCTCAATTCTAGAAAAGCAAGTTAGGAACTAGGAACCTTTATAACAGTAAAGGTGAGCCTCTTCCTTTTTTTTGATTTTGTTATGTTTTTCTTCCTGTTCTTTTTTCAGCCCAGCACAGCCAATCCCTATCTTTGATACATAAGTCCAGTCAACAATCCTGGCTTCAACTACGAGAGTATCATTCACAAGATACCCTCTTTTAGGATCATACATTTCACCAAGTGGCATGAAGGACGTGAAACTCAAATCAATTACTCGTGCATTGAATTGGTGCTACGTATGTACATGGTGTAAGTAAAATGAAGTTACAACAATACCCATGTCTATGCCCAAAAATTACGTGGAATTTTACTTTCTTTACTCTTTCCTTTTTGTTTCATTTAACAAGTTAATACTGACAATTTCATTCAAGACATGTAATATAACTATATCCGGATTTAGATCCAAAGTTAAAAGGACAAGAATATATGTACAAGTGGCAGTTTCAAATTTAGAAAAAAATGTTTAATGAAGTGAAATTTGAATGAGAAGACCAAAGGCAGATGAAAAGAAACAAGTATGTTTGTTAGGTTTGTGAAATTTTTATCAGGATATGCAAAAATAAATGCTTAAGAAGAAATGGCATTGGAGATGAGTATAATATACAGAGAGGTATTATTATGTGGATTTGATATAAAAATCTACCACAATCATTCAGGTTTCTCAGTGAAAAATTAGTCTAGCAACAAAAATAGATACTTCAAGTATTAAGTGCTCTTCCATTAATTGCAACAAACATGTAACAACATTCTTCACTTTTGATTCCACCAACGCTTTTTTCTACACACATGCATGGTACTTCATCTTGTATCAACTGTCAGGAACAAAGTGAAGAGACTACCTTTTATCACAGAGTGCTTATTATGTATTTGACTAACTACTTCCAAGCTAAACTGTGCATATCTGCTCCAATCATTGTGCAAACTAGCTAACTCTGCAACATCCAAATATATGGACAAATAGTCCACATTGTTGCCTTTCGGGAAAATAAGCACAGCCAGCCAAGTGCAAAACAATATTCAGGAGAGTCAACTGAAAATAAGTAAACCTAGGAACTAAAATTTCCAAAAAATGAGCATTAAATATGTGTAAGCACGATACCATTTCTAGCCACCAACAACAAATATTTCAGAATAGAGCTTATTTGCAGTAATCCTAGAAAAGTTGTGAATTCTCCATGTGAATCTTGATAATGAAGTATCCTCAACATGCTGATTCTCCACAGTTTTTTGACAATTTCAGTTTGAGCTACAAGTAAAGATCATCAAAAGAAATGAAAAGAACAATTAAGTACCATGCCTTAATTAAATCAACTAAAAACTGGGAACACAGACCAAACTGCCACACTTTCCCCAATTTTTTACCAAATGCCACGCGAATAGTATTTTTTCCTAGACTATCATGCATCGAAGTTTGCTACGACTGGAAGCGAACTTCGTCCCTTTGATTTCGTGACACGTGGCATCATTCGTGTGTCACATTGCGTACCAAGTTCGCTAATAATAGTTCAGTCAGCTTTTCCAGCGAAAGTGTGCCACGTGTCACAAAATCATTGGCGACAAAGTTTGCTACCACTCCAACGAACTTCTACGTGTTGCAATCCCCGTAAAAAATATTGTTCGCATGGCATTTGGGTAAAAAATTGGAGGAAGTGTGGCACTTTGGTCGATGTTCCTAAAAACTGGAAAAAAAAATGAATGACCTTAACCGAACTAGACCCGCTACTTGGTTGCCAGTAAAGATGAGTAAAACAAGATGAGAGGGAAATAATAACACAATCAATAAAGACATAAAAAAAACAGAGACCTACTAAAATGCAAACTAACAAGAAAGCACAATTTGTCTAAAAAAATGAGGAAAACCTAGAACTCTTAGAATTAGAACAATTTATCACTTAGGTATTCCCTTTCTCTCTGGCAACCAAACAATGCATGAAGTGGTTTCGTGAACGCAATTTGATTAGATCATCAAAACTCAAAAAGGCAATAAATGGAGTGAACAAAAAAAGAGGGACAGAGCAATCAGTACCTTCCATGGGTTGGTGATTATTCCCACCCAAATCCGAAAGCTTACAAATGAAGTCTTCTAAGTTAAATCATTATCTATATGGATTTCAGAAATATTTTGAATTGAGACTGACCTGCTAGTCAATTAAATCATAGTTCAGATTTGAATTATTTTTAAAAAGTAAAAGTATCATGTGATCTATCAACCATACTAAACTTATTAGATTTATTATAATTAAATTTATAATAAATTAAACATATATTGTTTAAGAAATTAAATCATAAAAATAAATAGGAATAACTCTTTTAAGATTATAAATAAATATATTTTTCTAAATTTAAATATTCAACCCAAAATATTATTATGTAATATTAAAATTCCTTTTAAAGGCCAACCTCTAAGTTTTACGGATAGGCTTTAAAATTGGTCTGTGGCTAGGTTATTGAGTATTTTTTTTTCACATGCATAATATGTTTAAGGGTTCGCTTATTTTTTAAATTTTATTTTTGAAAATTTTGTCTAATGTTTATCAAAAGGATATTGTTTTGGGTGAAAATCATTATGTTTTCGTAATTTTAATTTATTTTAGGGTTAGAATAGTCTGATTATTCTAATTTTTTAATCGTTCAACCCAAAACGACGTCGTTTCGTTGAATATTACACAAAATTTTTTAAAATAATATTAAATACTTTTTTTTGAGACAATAGGAAACTGAAACAGAGCAAAAAAAAAAAGAGTAAATATCTCTTTTGGTCCTCAGCAAAGTTCACGATGCCCGCTTTAGTCCCTAGCAAATAAAAAGGCTATTCGTGCTCCCTAAGAAATTCAAAATGGATCCATTTAGTTGAAATCGCAGTCCCTCACAAATTCAAAAAAGACCCACATTAGTCCCTCAACAGGACTAAAATGGGCTCATTTTGAATTTCTAAAAGACCACGAATAGCCTTTTTATTTGCTAAGGACTAAAGCGGGCATCGTGAAATTTACTGAGGAACGAAAAGGGTATTTACTCAACAAAAAACTAAGCACATAGCCTAGCCCAACGGACACCAATAGTGTCACTATGCAGCTTTTCCCAATAACCAGGAGAAGCCATATGAGTAAGAGGCTAGAAAGCCCGCCACTCTATTCCCTTCGCGATGGATGTGAGACATACAGACACACCAGCAACGATGTAACATGTTTCTAATATGCTACACCAAGTTTGCTACAGGATGATCAAAATGACACCCGTTGATTACAATCTGCTGGGCAGATGGGGAATCTCCTTCCAACCACACTTGTCTAAATCCTTTATCCCAAGACAACTGCAAACCCACCAAACAGGCCCACAATTCAGCATGCAAGACAGTACCTGAACCTAAGTTTTTACAGAAATCAAAAATCCAAGCTCCTGACAAGTCACATATGACACCACCACACCCGAACCTGTTTCCAGTTTTGGCCCCATCAACATTTAGCTTGACCCAGTCCACAGGGGGACAAGACTAAGCAATCATCCTCTCCACTCGATCTCTTGGTTGAAGCCTCGCTACATGAAAGGTAGATGCTGCTAGAACAACAATATCACGGAACCCAAAAGCTAAATGAAAAGTTGAGAAGACATTATGGTATTTTCCTTCGAAGATCCATTTGTTTCTGTCCCTCCAAATACTCCAGGCAAGAGTCCCAAATAAAAAGGGCCAATCTGATTCCAAGCTCCAATCTTTGTTACATTCTAAATTTATGTTGAACCAATCAAGCAAGTTTAGATTGAGGAATTCTTGTCATTTGTCTTGTCGCACTGCCAGAAACCAGATTTCCTTAGACTGAGGACAGTCCCAAATAGCATGAAGAGTATATTCACTCGACTGGTTGCATATTAGATACTTTATTCCCTATATTTTATTACTTAAACTTGGTAAGGTTTAATATATAGGTAATTGATCTATTTAGACCCCTATTACAAAGCATGTTTAGATGTGTTTGAAAAAAATTATAATTATTTTAAAAATAATAATTTCAAAAGCCAGAATAATTTTAGATTTGTATTAATAATTAAAAGCATTTTTAATTAGAAACAATATTTTTAAAAAATTTCAAGAATTTTGATTTCAAAAGAATGATTTTAATCTTTTTTCTAATTTTAATTTTTCTGAAGCTACATTTATACATATATAAAACAAATATTCTTTTTTTTTATTATCTAAAATACAACTTTTTGAAAAAGAATCCATTCAAAGATGCCCTTAATGACATTGCATGGGCTGCATGCGTTTGGGAAGAATTAATTTAAGCACAATTTTCTTAACTTAAATCAATCGAATAATGGATGAATCAATTGATATATCAAAAAAACTAATCTTATCATAATCAAAAAAATTCAAATTAATAGGCTATACGTATCATGTATTGAAAACTATACGGCTAACTTTTTCTTTTCGGAAATCAAACGGCTAATTTAATTAAACACTACCATCCCATTCAATATTCTTTGTACGTGTAACATTCTCTATAAATGGCTAGCATAGAAGATATCATATTATTTCTTAATTCTTATTTTAAATATAAGAACTAATTAAGATATATGATAAAATATTCTTTAAATTTAATTGTACAGAAATACAGTTCTCTATTAAATTTCAGATAGCCTAGATTATATCATAATCTAAATTGAAAAAAATATTTTTATTTTATCAGTTTTCAAAGCCTTTAACCATAGTGTTTTACCATATTTCAAAGTTATACATACTGACCTGTTTATTCTCTGGAAATGTTAACATAAAAACAAATATACATATACGTGAGATAAAATTTCAGTAACATTGGGGTTTTCGAACTATAACTAATCCAGTCATTTTAATGAAAAATATCATCCTCACAAAATATATTAATAATAAGAAAATAATAACAAATAATAAATATAAGCCCATACCTTTGTGAGTTCTTTATTCAGACATACCTAAATCTTTGTGAGTTCTACCCAAACCTATTGATGCTAATTTTTTATTTCTAATCTCTAATTTCTGAATATTTCTCAAGTTTAAAAAAGTATCAGGCAATACATCAAAGAAAAAAGAATAATTTAAACCAATATATTCATTTAACCTAAATATATAAATCATATCTTAAGATAAATTAATAATTTCAATGTTATTATATAACAAAATAACGACATCAAGCATGTGAATATTTGCAAATGAACACATCATTGCACCTTGTAACTGGAATTTCATAAGCATTAGTTTGATTTGTATAAATATCAGTATTTTAATCCAAAAATAGGCTTAAGTTTTTATTTATTTATTATGTTAATCTCTATTTATGCCGAATCAAATATGAATTAAAAAAGACATGTGGGTTGACCGGCCTTGCCCTTAACATGTTTTAACCTGCCACACATTTAGGAGGGTTATTTGGTGGGTTGGCTGATTAATCCATTGGTTTCAACCCGCTTTGCCAAATCTTTAGTGCAATTCAAGTTTGTGGGAAAAGATGGTCCAAAATAGCATAATACTTGTTTTCTTCAAATTTGAGATACTAATATAGGCAAGTGATTGAAGAGCAAAACAGATTACTAGAGGTATTTGAAATTTACCCTTATTTATGTCATTTTTTATTTGCTAATTGTAATGACATATATTTTCGGGACATTACTGATTTTTTCAATGAATAGAAAATATAAAATAGTATTGAATAGGAACAAGAATTTAAAAAAAAAATTAAACTTTTATAGAAAATGTAAATTTCAAGAAGGATGAATTTAAAATTAAAATACAAAAGATGAATTTTCATTTTACTTTCTGAAAATTAATGGATATATTTCGTGGAATGAATAAATTTTTCATTGTTGAACTGCACATTCCCTTATTATGAATGTTTGTTTTTACATATTTCTTTTTGGATAGATTTTCACAAATTTTCTAAGGTAAAGCTTATTCAATGTCTATGAAGAGAACCACAACAAAAGAAAATGTATCCTCTTGAGAGACTTATATTATGATTTTCATTTTTCAAGGATAATAAAGTTTATATATATTTTATAATAAAGACTTATATTAATTTTATTTTTTGTATTAATAACCATTCACATAGACCAATAAACCTATAATAACATTTAATATATATATATATATATATATATATATATATATATATAATTATTTCTAATGTCACAAGAGACAAAGTTATCTCATGTAATAATCACAAAACTACGTCATTTTGAAGGTTGAGGGAATCAATAAGGGGTGTTTTGATAAAAAAAAAATTAATATATAAATTTTTCCAAAACATCCCTCATTCATTCTCCTAAGTCTTAACTATTAAAACTACGTAGTTTTGGAGTTGCATGAGATAATTTTATCTCCCGAAGAAACAATAAACCTTATATGTATATATATATATTAAATAAAAATGACATGTGGGATCCATCTGGGTTAGAGCTAGCTAATGGTGGCTTGGAAGGGGAGAAGAATGAAGCAATCAATCATTAATTCAATAAAGGACTAGTTATTAATTCAATCACTAATTCACCCCTTGGAGTATCAAATTTTTCACCTCCTTTTCTAATGACCATGCTTTTCTATTGGTCTTTGTTGGTAGGTATCTGTAACATATAGAAGTGAATCAATCATTAATTCAATAAAGGACTAGTTATTTTGATGCTGTGAACTTTACAAAAGACAAAACTCTTTTGTACCTCATGCCAGGGACCCCTTTGGACATACTTTTCCATGACAGGAGCTCTTGGAGAGCTCCAAGTTTGAAGAAAATTTCTTCCCCCTTTGAATAATTGCTTCCGAAGCATGCTCTTGCAATAACATTCCCAGAGAAACTTCTCATGTACTCATCAATTTTTATATCCGCAACTCCACCTTCTGCCTCTATTCTACTATTCCACAAGTTTAGCAGAGACATAGAAGACTCACTAATTATATTCATCATTCCCTTTGGATGACATAAGGAAAAACTCATTGTAAGTTAAGAGGCTAATATAAATTTCAACATGGACCAAGCTTAAAACATTGTATACCTTAATCTTCTCCATGTATAGCTCTAGAGCTAGGATCTTTCTTTGATGGGTATAATACCCCTAACTTAATAATTAAATTAATTATTTT